ATGAACACAAATTATCCATGTGATGAAATTATGTGTATTTATACTTTGAAAGGTGGCCAGCCCATCTTAGCTGTGCCAGTTTCAGTAGGGTGTGGATACTGGGGAGTGCTGACCTTCAGGGCACTTCGGTGTCTGGAATCCTGTCCTGCCACTTGATCTCTAGTATCTTTCACAGGCAGCACAGGTGGAAGTAGTTTAGTTTCTTGGCATGATGCTGGTAGACGGTCCAGGTTTTGCAGGCATAAAGGAGGGTTGGGAGAACGGTGGCTTTGTAAATCTTCAGTTTTTTTGGCATTACGATACCTCTGTGGTCCCAGACTGACTTATGGATTCTGCCGAAGGCCATGCCAGCTTTTGCTATCCTCGTGTTGACTTCATTGTCAATGTGAACAGCATGGGAGAGTGTGCTGCCTAGATAAGTGAATTTGTTGACCGTCGACAATTGTTGGCCATTAACGGAGACTTGTGGTTCCTGGGGTGTCATGCCAGGCACAGGTTGAAACATCACTTTGGTCTTCTTCACGTTGATGATGAGTCCAAAGTTGTCACAGGTTGATGAGAATAGGTCCATGGACCATTGCATGTCAGCCTGTGCGCCTGTGCATAACGCACAGTCATCAACGAAGAGGAAGTCACAAAGCATGGCTGTCTGGACTTTGGAGCTCACTAGGAGCCTTCACAGGTTGAAGACGGCTCCGTCAAAATGGTGCCTTATCCCCATACCAAGGTCATCATCTTGGAAAGCATCCAACAGCATGGCAGAGAATACCATGCTGAAGAGGGTAGGTGCAAGCACACAGCCCTGCTTGATGCCATTTGTGACTGGAAAGGGGTTAGAGTATTTGCCATTCGCAAGGATGCATGCCATCATGCCATCATGGAACTGTTGAATCATACTGATGAATTTTCCAGGGCATCCATACTTCTTCATGATTTCCCAGAGGACTTCACAGTTCACTGTGTTGAAGGCTTTGGTTAGGTTGATGAATGTAGGAGATTGACATTCTGTTCCTGGCACTTTTCTTGAAGTTGCTGCACCGCAAACACCATGTCACACCAACGGGTGCACCAGAGTTTGCGTGGGAGTTTGTGAAGCAGGGCACACAGAAGGGGCCTGAACTCCAAGTGTTGGCAGATTCAGATGCAGACTTTAGGTGAGTGGAAAAGGAAGAGTCTTTCAATGGGGGTTGTGACATGGAGCGCAGCCAAGGACCCTGGCCTGGCGCTGCATCCCACCTGGGGCTCCTCTGAGGCCTCCACCCAGGCAGGGCCCTTGGATGGGTCAGCAGTGCCCTGGCCCCTCATCTGTAGCGGTTATTTGGCAGGACCCCTGGAGCCTGGAGGTGGTGGGCGGGCCAGGAGTCCCCTCATGTGTGCCCCCCCATGTGTGCCCAGCTTGAGGCTCTGGAGGGGCAGGTGAGCCAACTCCAGGTAGAGGTTAGCAGGCTGCAGGGGATCAGGGCTGCTGAGGATGAGATTGATGGGTACTTTCATTTTCTGCAGGATTGGATACTTGGTGGAGAAACAACGCAGGAGAGACCTGATGCAGACGAATGGAAGACAGTCGCCTCCAGAGCCAGACATTGTACTGCTGAGACAACTGGGAAACAGATATGAGGCCCTGGCAGCACTGGAGGAGAGTGCAGAAGAGGAAGCCACAGCCACCATCATGCCATCAGCAGGCAAGCAGAGGAAGAGACATTGGGTCATCATGGTGGGTGACTCCCTTCTGAGAGGAACGGAGGGAGCCATCTGTCACCCAGATCCCATGGCAAGGAAGGTATGCTGCTTGCCCAGAGCCTGGATCTGGGGCATCACTGTGAGGATTCCTGCCCTCATCCAGCCCTTAAACTACTATCCCATGGTCCTCATCCATGTGGGCACAAATGATGTGGCCAGGAGTAGTTTGGACTGTATCATGAGTGACTAAAGGGCTCTGGGAGCCAGGCTTAGGAAGATGGGGGCTCAGGTGGTCTTTCTCATCAATCCTCCCAGTCAGCAGTCACCATCAGCATCATGACACCTGCATCAAAGAAGTCAACCTGTGGCTTCAGAGTTTGTGCAATTGTGTGGGTTTTGGCTTCTTTGGCTACGATCTGTACTTCCACGAAAGGGGCATCCTGGGATGTGATGGCCTTCATCTCTCTTCAAAAGGTAAGAGTCTGTTTTCTTACAGGTTGACTGATCTCCTACCCAGGGCTTTAAACTAGGTTCACTGGGGGACAGGGATACAGACGACAGAGAGAACCTAGAATCAACGAACCATGAGCCATGCACTGGAGCAGCCATGTAACTAATAAGGGGCCCGATGGGCATCGGGACAGCGGAGCACCAAGGGCACCCATTGGGGGGCTTAAGTGTCTCTATACTAATGCTAGGAGCATGGGAAAGAATCAGGAGGAACTTGCACTCCTGCTTGCGAACAAAAACTTCGACTTGGTTGGGCTGAATGAAACCTGGTGGGATCCTACCTGTGATTGGGCAGTAAGCATTGTGAGCTATAGACTGTACAGATGTGACAGAGCAGGGGAAAATGTGGTGTTGCACTCTATCTTCCATATTCAAAATGGGATCAGAGGAGGGGCAAATTGAGGTATTGCGAGTCAGAATACAAGGTGGTCAGGGGGAAAGGGACTTGGTAGTGGGGGTCTGCTGCAGAGCACCACATCAGGAGGATAAGCTAGACCTGGAGTTCTCAAGGCAGCTCTCAGAGGCCGTTTGGTCAAGGGACATGATTGTCATGGGCTGACCTTAACTACCTTGACATCTGCTGGGAGAAACAGTCAGCCAGATCCAACCATTCACATAGGTTCTTAACCTGCATACAGGACCCTCACCTAATGCAAGAGGTATACAGTCCCACTGTGAGGTTTGACCTAGAAACCACTATACAAAGCCCAAGCAAAAGTCTCTGTTATGTAACTAATGCCCATCTGCAATGATAAGGAGGAGACAGTCTTAGATAAAGGAGGCTTGAAAACAAAAGCAGAATCAGAGGACTAGGGCAAAGAGCTAATTTAAATATTAAAAATCACACCCCTAGGTGGGGAGAAAGTATGCTAATGAAACATACATGTATGGAAATGAGATACATAGCTAAAACACAGGTATAGAGACATGCTCAGTAAAGAACTCCTTGCGTCACTCCTTTATAACCAATTAGCAAACAAGGATGCGTATGAAGGTCCAATACTCCTGTATAAAAGATGCTTAGAATTACAAATCTGTGTGCTTGTTACGTGAAATTATTCCGCTTGCACCTTTTATTGCTAGCAATAAATCTTCTTTATACTTTCACCCCTGGTATCTTTATTGGCCTTTGCATACCGGGCACGATCCCAGACTTGAGCTGGGTCTCAACACCACTAGTGGGGAATGTCTTGCTGGACTTGGTGTTGGCTACAGGGGATGACCTGGTGGGGCATCTGCAGATACAAGGTAACCTAGGGGACAGAGACCACCAACTGATTGAATGCGCTGTCTGGCATAGGGTGGGAAAGATAACCAGTAGGGCAGAAGTACCAGACTTCAGAAAGGCTATCTTCAGTGCGCTCAGGAGATTAGTTAGTGAGGCACTGAAGAACAGGAACATTGCTTTGGTTTTCCTGAACACAGACAAAGAAAAATCTCCCAGTTGGATCATAGCCAGGCACAAGAGGGACACCAGCTCACCAACTGTTAGCACTGACTTGGTGCAGAGACACTTGGAAGACCTGGATGTGTTTAAGTTAGCAGGCCTGGATGATCTTCATCTAAGGGTGCTGAAGGAATTGGCCAGTGTCACAGCAGAGCCACTGGCATGGTTGTTTGAGCACTCAATGTGGTCCCTATTTTCAAGTAGGGGAGGAGGGAGGATCTGGGTAACTACAGGCCAGTTAGTCTCACCTCTTCCCTTGGCAAAATCTTTGAAAAAATTATTAAGGATCACATTTGTGGGAGTCCAGTGGGAGAAATAATGCTGAAGGGCAACCAGCATGGGTTCATAGCAGGTAGATCTTGCTTGACTCACCTTGTCTCCTTTTATGACCAGGTCACAAAATATGTAGACATTGGAGTCAGGGAGATGTCATTTATTTGGATTTTAAGAAGGTCTTCCATATAGTATCTCATCCTAGTCTCATGAATAAACTAAGAGGCTGTGATGTAGATGATTACACAGTCAGAGATTGAGAGCCCTGGCTCTCTTCAGTCTCCTCAAGAGAAGGCTGAGAGGGGATCTGGTGGACTTCTGCAAATTCACTGGGGGAGGGAGAGGGGAGCCAGCAAGGAATAAGTGATGCTCTGTCTATCAGGGCATCCCTTGGAGTAACTAGGAACAATGGCCACAAACTGATGGAGAGCAGATTTAGGTTGGACATCAGGATGAACTTCTTTACGGCAAGGGTTGCCTGAATCTGGAATGGGCTTCCAAGCGAAGTGGTGCTCTCCCTTACCTTGGGGGTCTTTAAGAGGAGATGGGACAAGCACCTGGCTGGGGTTGTCTGACCCCAGTGCTCTTTCCTGCCCGGGGCAGGGGGTCAGACTCTGCCATCTACTGAGGTCCTTTCCGACCCTAACAACTATGAATCTATGAAGCATGTTCACTGTGCAGCTTTCTGAGCATGCTCAGAGAGGAAGTGAGGGGTGAGTGCCACAGGGGCAAAAAATTAAGGTTGTATACATGGCATTCAGGTATGCACTGGTGAAATAGGATTTAGCCCTATATATGGGGAGAGGTATGAATTCAACTGGGTTTTGCAAAGATTGACTATAGCCAGTCCCTCAACCACTGGATCCTGTATCCACTCCTCAACATGATATGTAAATGTACAGAAAATGAACTGACTGTATCATGACATCCCTGGGGCACTGCATGGGATCATCCACAGGGAAAGGACCTCTGTGAGAAAAAGACAGACACCTGAGTGGCACCTAAGGAGTCACTGTCTGTGACAGCTATGCAATCACAGTGGACATTTGTAACGGAGGAGCATGGAGGAAGTGCATGACTGTGACCGGTGTCACTGGCTTCTGAATCTGAGCAGGAAGCAGCTGGAGTTGGGAGCAGCAGAACCCGAAGAGAGCAGGGAGGTTTTTGTAATGAGCTGTAGCACTGTGAGAGGGGTGCCATAACCATGCTGACAGCAATAGTCTCCAGCATCACCAGCCTCCACCCGGCTGATGGTGAAAGCGAAGTCGGTGCCAGACTCACTGCCGCTGAACCGGTCGAAGATCCCGGAGGGGCGGCTGCTTGTGCCATACAGAAGGAGCTTAGGGGCCTGCCCTGGTTTCTGCTGGTACAAGGCCATGCGGCTAAATATGTTGGAAATGGTTTTGTACTTGATGGTGACTGTGTCCCCTGGGGACACGGCCAGGGACTCTGGAGTCTGAGTCACGAGAATGTCCCCGCTGGAGCCTGCATGAGGGGAACAATAAACACAGACAGAAGTCCAGATAATTCAAGAAAAATGGTGATTAAGAATGAGAAGTTATATTTTTCTCCCTTTTCTAAAATGTGTCTATATTTAATTTCTGAAGACTATCAAAGATTTCAGTGCTATTCTGTCCCAGAAGGAAAAAAAAAATCCTCCTTTTATATAATGCTAAGAGCATCAACAGCTTTTCAATGCATGTTATGGTTTTACATTAATCTCTGCCCTGCTGCTGCCCTTACCCTGTGCCCAGAGCACGAGGAGCCAGAGGAGCTGAGTCTGCCACAGCATCTTGCTGCTTCTGCACCGACTGACACGGAGCTGAGAGACACCAAGGGTTAAACCGACCCCTTTATAGCTGCTCCCCAGAGCAGGGCGCAGTCACTGGGGTGGACGTTTGCAAAGCAGCAGCTCTATGAAAATACGCATCCCCTGGGGCACAGGGCAGAGGTAACAGGGAAGGGGCTAATGACAGCCCTGCCCTCTGAATATAAACACAACTTACCAAGTGCTGGAGGATCCTTCTCAGCTGGCTTTTTCCTGGTATCCAAGCACCAGCCCCCAGCCGAGCTGAGTGTGGCGGGCCAGTAGGGGGCGCTCCTGCGTTGAGCCGCCCACCTCCCTGCGCCCGACCACCTTCCAGGCTCCGAGTGCCTCCCTTGGGGTGCCTCCCGTCCGGCCGACCCCTTCCCTGGAGCACACCCGCTAGCCTGGGGGTCCCGCTGCCACCATCCA